CGTGCGCCGGTCTGCGTGGCGGGTGGGCGGGGGCTGGAGAATGCTGTATGCACTATTTTTGGGGGGACCTTGATGCACCAGAATGCATGTAAATGCACGAAAAACTCATGCAAAGGCACTGGACTGCAACTGAAAGCCCATTCTAAGCTACAAAAAAAACCACACCGGAATGCGTTTGCAGATCTGGTCCAGACATGGTGTAAGCAAGCCCCTAGAGATATGAGCTATGTAATGCTGTTGGTATGAACATCTTTATGTTAAGTTGTAAAGTCTATAAGTTGAGATGTACAGTATATATCCAAGGAAAGGATGTTTGTTACACAACCAAATGGTAAATCCAAACAATGGCTTTATTTTCTGCTGCAGTGCAAAAGTAAATGGGTAAGTATACTGAACAACCCTTTCCGACATCCTGGCCCCATCATCAGATCATTACCTATGAACCATTCTTCATAAGTGTTTGGAGCCCATCTGATGCCTTGCACCCGCTGGACATATATTACTTTCCCAAAACAGCTCACCCGTTTTCCTGTCATGTTCTGACATTTGTATCGTAGGATTTGGCCATATTGAAATCATGACATTTTTTTTGTTGCATTTTTACATACAAGATCAACTATAGGTTACCTAGTGAGGCGATGAAGAAAAAAAAAAGTAAACATTTAAAGGAGAACTATGAGGTGAGTGATTTCCTATCATTCTCACAGTTAGAGCCGACCTGTGACAAAGCAGCTGTCACAGTTCGGCTCTGTTGATCAGGAAGTGAGCGAACACATACCATTGTTCTCTCACTTCCCGATTGTCAGTCACCGCCCCCTGCATGGATTCCTCTCTCCGATCCTCCAGCGCTGAGTGGATAAACAAGCAGGGGAGGGGGCGGGCACAGCTGGCTCTGCTTCTAGATGGGCAGAGCCAGCTGTCACTCACGCAGCTGGGTAGATCCAGACATTGTCGGTATCTGTCCCGACTGCGGTGCTCTTAGTATATCATGGGCAATAGCCCACTATATAGTGTGCTTTGGGTCACGGGAGGAGATTAGTATATGTCCTCCTGTGACCCTAAAGAGAACTATGGGGGAAAACACTTACCCCATAGTTCTCTTTTAAGGCCCTTTTTTTTTTTTGTTCACACCACAAAGTCCGCGTTCCAATGCCTTTGACCTCTGGAACACAAGCCGGCCGGCATTGAAGGCAATGGCACCGCAGCCACGCCCTGCCCGCCTGAAGTGCAATTGCCCGCATTAGTGCTTGCATTCCGGTCCAGTGTGATATGCAAATACACTGCAAGCACTATTTTTGCAGATCACACTGACCAGAACGCAAGCACTAATGTGCCTGCATTCCCGGGTGCGGGAAATCGCACTGCGGGCAGTGGGCGTGGCTGCGGTGCCATTGACTTCAATCCCCTCCCGCCCCTGAACGCAGGGAGCCAGCCGGCTTGTGTTCCAGTGCGTTCCAGAGTCCGAGCGCACTAGAAAGCGGAGTTTGTGGTGTGAACTGGCCCTTACTCTGCACTTGATCCATGCTGCTTTCTGGTAGTAGCTCAGAGGCGGCCAGGAAACTAGCATTTCCAGAGACATTGGCAGCCTACATATTTCAATCGGTTCATATTTTCTGTAAATAATTTCATGTACTGAAGCAAGCTAGATGCAAGCTGTTCTGTCTATCTGGAGATGCAGTATTTATTGTAACAGTGTCTGCCTGGAATTGCTGTAGCCTCTGAAGATTTTCCTGATTCATGTAAATGATAGGATTTGGAAATAAATGACAGCAGTGAGTTATGTTGGGGTAAATCCAGGATGTTCTAGTGTTTCAATCAATTTTTCATCTCTTCTCCCAGCTCATTGCTCTGAAAAGTAGCCCCGTGTAGCTTGTTTACATTAGGAGCAGCCGTGCTGGTGTAATAATACCCATACTGGCTGTGTAGTCGTGTTTTCCCAGTAGTCATCCTGACCTTCCCATGTTTTCCTGACCCATGGGTCTTCTATGGCTGTACCTTTTGTTTCCCTATCCTCTCATATCGCCATCCTTCATTTTCCCCCTGTGGCTTCAAGCACATATGTACTCAGTCAGAGGAATGTCGTTTCTACATTCATTTCTAGACCTTACAGAACCAACATGGTTATAAAAGGTTACCGCTCAGAGGTGGTCCATTTGTTTCATTTATTTCTGCTTGTTCTGCACTCTTGGCATATAGGGGAGAATTTTATTAAAAAGTTTGTGACTGTTCATAAAGGTTTGTATCAGAACCGTCTTTTTGGGAAGTGTAACAATATTACTACTAATGCCAAAAACGGAAGCCATAAAGTCTATGTCCAGCTAGTTTTGGATTAGAACTTCAGGTCTTTATTGCTATCCGGGACTCCTGTTAGCGTGATTTAGCCTCACTTCCTGTCTTGTTGACAATGTATTACCAGCGAGGAAGTGAAGGAAACAATCCATAAGCATCACAGATGAAAATAAAATGTTTTTCTTTCATAGAGTTGGGCAAAACTAGAACACCAGTCAGATTTTTACCCTTTTGGCTTTACATACACCTAAGCTGGCCAAACACCTATAGATTTTCTATGGTCAGATGAAAAAAGTGCAACAGATTCCTCCATCTACACTAAACTGTGTGGATGGAGGAATCTCACGCTGGGCCAAGCTTGCTAGCAAGATACTGAAGCTTGGCCCAGTGGGAGATTCCTCCATCCACACAGATTAGCGTAGATGGAGGAATCTGTTGCACTTTTTCCATCGGACCATAGGAAATCTGCACATAATCTAGAGGTGTATGGCCAGCTTTAGTTTCCACATTTTCTGGGAAATATCAGCCTTATTAGTTACATTGGCAATATTACATTCTGCCATAACGTGCCTTTGTTTTTAAAGAGAACCTGTCAAAAGAATAGTGATTATAAATCTCAGCAATGTATCTTCCAAAACTGTCTATCAGACCAGGATCCCTTTGTATACACTCTCCACTGGCCATGTACATCCATGTTTTTTTGGATCTGCTGAATGGCAGCCACACCGTGAAATTAGAAATCAAAAGCAGCGTCTACATTTTTTTCAAGCACTCTGCAGCTCTGTAAACTTGCTTCCTGTGTAACATTACCAGGCTCCTATCCTCGGGAGAAACTGCAGAGTCCAGCACAGAGGTTGTTAAGGGTCAGCCTGTGAACATGTGTCTTATGTGAAAAGTGGCCTCTGTGGCTCTCTAAGACCAGTTTTTCTACTTGATGAAGCTAGGGGGAATTGGCATAATGGATATTAAATGTCAGCTAGGTTTTATTGCTTGTTTTCACTCTAGAAGCTTTCTGCCTTCTAATGGGGCTTTGTGGAGCAGTCCATGGCATGCTTCAAATCTGTTTACAAGCACTCTGTGTAATCAAGTCTTTGTGATGGACTGTCACTTAGGTTGTACATTTCGTGCCTTACTGTAAATGGAAAATACTCCTCCGTAGTAGACCACAAGCCAGAGACTAGAGCCAAGGAAGAGCAGCAGTGTGATCTACTACATGCTGGCAAGTGATCACCTTAAAGGGAAACTGTCTTTCGTTGCTGTTCTTAAAGGTTCATGCTTTTGGGCTTTGTTTTTGATCCTAGCTTGACTACCTAGTGCGTCATTGACCAGCAATGAGCATGCAGTATGGTAGGTCACACTTCTCGGATTTCATTGACTGCATTCTTCTTACAGATCATTGATGTGCTAGGTAGTGAGTAGGGTCAAGGTGATGCCATGCACAAAACAGCCCTGCAATGGCCACTGCCATATTTCTATCCATAAAGAGACACCTAACAGACAGAGCTCTGTTCATTGTTTTTATAAGGAAGAACTTCAGTTTTGTGGGCATGCAAGAATATTGTTTTAACACGAGGAGCTGACAAATCATAATTTAATTTTTTCTTACTAATAGTAGGGAAGTGGAGCTAATATGTAGTCTGGGAACTAAATCTCCTGAAAAATTGAGTTGCTTTTTATTTATTTTTTTGTAAAGCTTCTTTAACACTTAATTTAGCTCTATGCACCGCAGCTAGTCTGGATGTGCTGATGCACCTTATAAGACATTTTTGTGCATTATGTTACCTAAAAATGCAGCATGCCTACATTTTAACTTAAACTCCAGTCAAATACTATTTCCCTACCATCCCTTCCTCCCACCCCCTTCCCAAAAAATTGGCCAGTCCCCTTGACTCCTCTTGGGCTGGCATCAGTAGTCCTCTCGATGATGAAAGGACCCCTCTGATGGGCAGCCAAAGTGGAAACTCTAAAAAGTGAGGGTAAACCCCTCTTAGAAAGTTGTCATCAGAATAGGGTCATCCACTGGATAATTTTCCCTTTTCTCCTGTTCCAATAACTGCAAAACCCACACTGAAAATATATTTAAGGAATTTAAAAAAAAAAGAAACCAGAGCTAATGCAAAATTTAAATTCTTTATGAAATGTTTAAGCATTTTAGACAGTTGGAAAATCATGGCGTACAGAAGTGAACATCATGTGACTCCATTTTTTTCCCCCTCTCATGTGACCTCAGGTTAACCTCCACTGTGGCAGAACATAAGCGTGCAGTCAGACCAGTGCGCAAAGTGCAGGCCTCGGGAAATCCACTGCGGTTGCTCGCTGCTCGAGATGATATCCTGCAGGAGTATACAGAGACCAGGCTGAATGTGGCCTTTATGGAGTCCAAACGAATGAAAGTAGAAAAAAGTATGTTTTGTTTCTTTTTTTGCTGAATATTGCCAGCAAAGCTTCTGCAAATAGCTATCATTTCCCTTTGGTCAACTTGAATATTCTTTTGAAATGTATTTTAGTAATCAGAATGCAATAATCAAGAGGTGGACAGTACATCATGAGCAACTAGGGCTTGGCTAGAATGGAAGTAACAGATTAGCATCGGTTTTCAAAGCAGCTAAAAATTCTTTATAACCAGAAAGACAACACACAGCTCTTCCATCGCTTTTCAATAGCTTTTTAGCATTCTGTTTTTCCATCATTACAGGTGCTGTTAAAGACCTTAATTTTTTTTCCCCCACCCTTCACTAAGAACCTAGGACTGCAGTTGCCTGATTAATAATGATGATAATGAGTTCCCAGAGCACTATGGGTAATCTAATGACACATTAGGTGTCTACCCGCTTTTGATGCATTTTTTCGTTTAATTGAAATAACTGGGCTCTATAAGAAGTAATTAATTATCCACTTATGTGTGTAGGTGTTAGGTTTTGTAAACCGCAATGAGAGTGTGTGATAAGGAGCCTAAAGCTTCACCTGCTGGCTTAAAATAAGAGTGCAAAATAAGAGTGCAAAATTTGAGTGTGCAGCAGAGGTTTGAGAGATTGTCTCTGCAATGGTTAAACAGGTAGCAGTAAGAAAGCATCTCAATAAAGGTTTGAAATCTTCTCCACTCTGTACATAATAGAAGGCTTGGCTGGAGTTGAGCTGTCAAAGTTTAGAGAGCTTTATATATTAACTGGCTGCAGAGAATAGAAGTATGAGATGCACAGAAATCCCTGGGAATAGAAAGTTGCTGTGCGGATGTTATACAACTGGGAGGCGGTGATGGCCATCCAGTTATAATACTGCCTGGCATTTATGGCCATTTAATTAGAGGGGGGGGGGGAGGTTCCATTGGCTTCATTGGAAATTGGTGTATACAACAAAAATGAAATGCTGGCTGTAAGCAGACACCTACATAATAATATTTGTGAACCATTTATCATAAAAGTAGTTTCACAAGAATATTCGAATTGATGTGAGATGGTGTAAAAGATTAACAATTGGCTGGAGGTGTATGCTCATTTTTGAAGCAGGGTTGGGTGGACCAAGCAAACCAATGAAGTTCTGGGTGCTCGGGGCGAGAAGTTGAGATGATGGGATATTTATTTAGAATGGACAGAAAAATGTAAACCAAGTTATTCTCTTTTAGTGTCTAAGAACTCGAACTTCTCCGACGTGGCTCTTGCTGGGCTGGCAAGCAAAGAGAACTTCAGCAGTGTCAGTTTGCGCAGTGTTAACCTCACAGAACAACACTCGAACAACAGCGCTGTGCCCTATAAGAAGCTTATGTTAATACAGATTAAAGGTACGTAGCGGGTGACTAGGCCTTGCCTGAGAACAGTCGCTGTTATTTCCTTATCTGCCATTCTCAGCCGATTTAGGAAAACGTGACTGGGTGTTACTGCATTTACTAGTTTCATTGCTGTTAGCTTCAGATTTGTTTTTAAAGTAGCTGCGACCAATCACCTTTATTTCCACATACCTGAGATGGCGTGTATGTGACAACCCTGTTCTGTTCCATGAAAGGGAGTTTCTCTTGCTGTTTGTCAGATTCATTTTAGACTTTTAACAGTGGCATAGTGGTTAGCACTTCTACCTTGCAGCACTGGGGTTCCGGTTCAAATCCTGGAGTTTGCATGTTCTCCCTGTGCTTGCATGGGTTTCCTCCCACACTCTAAAGACATGCTGAAAGGTTAATTGTCCCTGTATGTATACATGTGAGATAGGGACCTTAGATTGTAAGCTCCTCGAGGGCAGGGACTGATGTGAATGTGCAGTATGTAAAGTGCTTTGTAAAAATTGGCGGCGCTATATAAATACCTGTAATAAAATAAGAAAGTATAACCATAGAGGTTACCCTTCCCACTGGCATAACGCACTTATGCTTCAGCGCGGCAGGAAGGCTTTAACGATGGCTGTACGCATTTATGCATTCAGGCAGCCTTCTGTTCTGTGCTCCTAGCACCCAGTCACTGTAGCATCTGTAGCTGGTGGGGCAAGCTCCCGATCATGTGACTGTTGTGACACCCAATCATGGCAATTACGTAATTGGGAAGCCCGGCTCCTGTTCAGAACCCCTTTAAAGGACTTTCTCTCACCAGTGCCAAGGGGATAAAATAGAAAATATTTACATATCCCTTTGTCACATCCTAAATATAGGAGGATTATTCCTCATTTCAGCACTGCTGACAGCCATGCAAATCATTCCTTTACCCCTCTTTAGCCAGATGCCAAAACCATTGTTGTATAGTACCGGCACAGCCTAATATAATAGAGCCATTTATTCCAAACTGCGTACAGCTGTTTCAGGCTTTTTGGCCATCATCCGTGCAGTATATGGAAACTATGGCTTCTATGGAGTAGGACTTGGTGCTCCAGCTGAACCAGTTTGTAGCACAGTAGAAACTACTTGGAACAGAAGGTATTCCCGTCTCTAATATGTTGTTCTAAATGGAAGTGTTGGGCAAACAACCCAAAACACCAAGTTCTGCAACCTCTGCCCATCACCTTTTTGTAACATCATCCAGCTGTGATGTATTCTGGAGCCTGAGAGGACCCCGTTGATGGACAGCCAATAGGAAATGTCCATGTCACCCAAGCAGCATCGTGAACTTGAGGCAGAGGACCCTTCTCTGCAGGGAAGAAGATAAGACGTGGGACCCAATATGTTGCTTCACCTCAGATTTAGAGAAGTGTAAAGTGAAGAAATATAGTTATGTCAAAATTGCATCCGTATACTTTAGGCCTCATTCACACAGACATTGACATCCATATGGCATGCACGCTTGTATTGAGACCTTCTCCCGGGAGGAACAGGTTCACCTTCAGCCTGTAATTGCGTGCAGCCGCATGTACATCCCTATGACGGTATCATCCACATTTTTGTAGTGTATAAAGATACGGTACTACTTGCTTAGTAGTGACGCACAACAATTGCACTTTACTGTTCCGCTCTTTACTTCTGCTCAAGATCTATAACAAGTAAATGTTGTGACCTAGCCTGTAATCTCAGCAATTTCTCTGCAGGGGATGCTGACTACAGTGCTTATATACATGTAAACCTCAGCGGAAGCACCTACGATATACGAAATGTTTTTATGAAACCGCAAATATGTAAAATTCCAAAACTGACTTCAAAAACTGTTTCTTTCTTCAGGCCGTAGACATGTTCAGTCGAGGTTGGTGGAGCCCCGAGCATCCTCCCTGAACAGTGGGGACTGTTTCCTGCTGATCTCTCCGCTCTACTGCTTCCTGTGGGTTGGAGAGTTTGCAAACGTCATTGAGAAAGCCAAGGTTAGTGTCCTCAGATGTTGACATTCTGTCACTCTGCTGCCACTTTGAAGTGCCAAGACCAATTCTGGCATGGATATGAGCATCTGGAAGTGCTGTGTCATGCACAACACTATATATGGCCATGACTGGACAGATCTATGTGCAGCCTCTTGAATTATCTGACATCGCTCTCAGCACGTCCCCACTTTGAAGAGTGTCTGTTTCATAGCCAGGAAATCCTGCTGGAGGGATCCAGCCAGTGGTGTCATGACATCAGGGCCCATATGCAGAATTCTTCATTTTCTTCACCAATAGCTGCGTTGAGGGGGTCATTTTGAGGTTGTTGCAGTGTACTATTGCAAGACCGCTTTGTAGTTTTGGAATAGTAAACTCCTGCCAAAAAATTAATTCCGTTTTTGGCTGACCCTGTTGCAAATAATTTGTTTTGTTTTGCTTTTTCTTTAGTGCATGTTTGCAGGCTAAAAAAAAAAATACATCATTTTATCCATCTGCCCTATTGTATATAGAGAATTTTTTTTTTTTTAGATGGCCATACCCTGCTGGATTTTCAGCAGGACTGAGACGAAATTTGAGCTGCGGCTCCTGTCAGAACCCCCTGTTAAACCGATTTTTCAATTGGCTTTTGTCAAAGAAGCCGGTCCAGAAAAAAATCTCAGCCGAATGGTCGCACACAACATTCAATACCCAACTGTTGTCAGACTACAGTCTCCCGTGGATGGGGGGGGGGTTGGGATTCCCTCATACACACTAACATAGATAAAATATAACTTTTTTCTCGGTCAGCACATGGGGTCCGAGTGAGGAAAAAAACAGCCTGTGTATGGTGCTAACTCTTACATATGCAGTAGGTCATAACAGCCAATCATAATCTATTGTATCCTTGTCTGACATCAGCAGAGTGAATTCTGATTGGTTGCTATTGGTACTACACTAAAGAGTAAGCAGTCTCCATTGAATATGGCCATGGTTTATTAATTGAATTATCCTCTAACCTAAGTTATTATAGATGCAAGCTTCCTGGACCCATTAGATCCCTTCCTCCTACAAAGCCTAAGCGAAGGAATCCAAGGGGGCCTTAAAGCTTACATATTTAGGACCTTTTATTGGTTTACTTAAATTATTACCTAAATGACACATTTTCTAAATTGATCCATGAATAACATGGTAGAAGACTCATTGAGCTACAATTGAAGTATCTGTACTAAACCTGAGTGGCCGTGAGTAAAAGAGGCAGAAATTGTCGGGCTGCGCCATCCCCCATTAAGGATAAGTGATCTGGTCATGACAAAGGTACAGACGCTACCGTTGCTGGCCTCCTTGTAAAAATGCTAGTTGCTTGGCTGTGTCTGGCTTCATTGCTTTGCGTTACAGACCCGGAACAAGCATGCTATAAATGAATGTTCGAAAAGTGTCATTCCTTAGCTCTATTATTGTTCCCGGTCAGTGATTCGGGAAGCATTGAAGCCAATGACCGGAAGGCAACAGCATTGGTCAGTTTCATTTTAAAGCGGAATTCCAGGAATGATCTCTTATGGAAACTTACAATGGTCCAGCTTGGCTCGATGTAAGTATCCATATCTTCTGTCCCGATGGTTGCTGGGGGTGAATATGCCATGATCTTTCCAGTTGCTGCACCAGTGGCTTCCCCTATGCACACTGAGCACAGGAAGTCACACACTCGATGCTGCCGCCATTAAGAGAGAGCATTTTTTTTGTCACTGAATACAAGACGTTCTCTGATTGGACAAGGTGAAGAATTGCAAATGAGGTCACAAAATTATTGTTCCCCTGGCTGTCAAGCTTATCTTCCGTCTTCAGTACTGATGAACCCAAAGCAGATGTGTTTAGTGAGGTCAGAATTTCAAACCAGCATTCTTTCCAGGTCATTGACTCAACAAGTGGTGAACCCAGAAGATCACCATATGGGGCAGAGAACTTCTGAAGAAAGTCAACATTGGTGCCAAAGGGGCTTATGTCATCACCAGATCCCTTTCACTCAAAGGTTGAGATCAAAGTTCTTACATAATTTGGGCTCTGGGGCAATGGAATAAAAAAAACTGACAGGCAGCACCTAGAGAAATGGGTCTGTCAATGTGCTCATGATGTGTAGGTCTGACTGCCATCTGTACCATCACACACTATTTGAACGACCTCCTGCAGAACTCTGTTGAGAAAATTCCCACAGACATTAACTGGAAGAACTTTGATCCAGGAGAAAATTAAATTTAACCGTTCATTTGGATATAATGTGTGCCAATCCCACAACCAGTGGGATATAATAAGGACCATATGATCTCATAAAAGAGGAGGCGTGTGAGAGCGACTATGTTTAGAAGGGGCACAGAGACCATTCTATCTGCTGGTAGGTCAGATATTTCCTTTTCCCTCTATTTCATGGGACTAAAAAAACTTTTTTTTTTTTAGGCTTCAGAACTGGCCACCATAATCCAGACAAAGAGGGAGGTGGGGTGTAGAGCATCCTATGTGCAGACAGTGGAGGAGGGAATAAATACGCACACTCACGCGTCGCGAGACTTCTGGAAGCTTCTGGGCGGTCAGATGGAATCCCAAGGTAATTGTGACTTACCGGTAATGCTGATGGTTGTGTATTAAAACAAGCTTTTCACAAGTCTAATCGTCTATGTAAGGGAGCAATCTGAAATTTGCATACATCTACCCCCATGTTCGTGCAAACAATACAAAGTCCACCTAAATACTCTGCTCAATCAATCAGAATTAACCAATAAAGACATTTTCCATTGTTTTGCCGCCTTTATTGTATTGTACAAAAGTGTCAAAACCCAGTAACCGGTTAATGGGTGGGTCACAGCCATCAGAAAACTACCTCCCAAAATATGCAATTTCCTTCCTGAGAATGTAAAGCCCATTTTAAGCCAAGTTATTTTGTTTTTTGTTTAGGACAGCTTGATGGACTAGGACCATGATTTCCCCTCTCTTCCTGTCTGTCATGAGGACAGGAAGAGAGGGGAATTTCAAAGCGGAGGCACCAACATCAATACAAGCACTTTATTTTTAATGTTAGAGTTTCGGGAACGGTTAAAACCTCTGAAGTTTTTATTCCAGTTGAGATTTCCCTCACTACTTGTGTGGTCACTGGGGAGGGAAGTGAGGACAAATCGTCCTACAGGTAGGGAGAGCATTGGAAACTTGACTGAGGTTTTAACTATTTCCAAAAAAAAAAAAACTGTGTGTATACACAATGGAGTTTGTTCCAGATCAGTGACTCAGAAGCTATTGAAGCTATTGAAGCCAGGCAGCAGCCCTTTTGGGAGGTTAGGGTCCACTTATCTGTCCAGCTACAGGATTCCTTTATTATTTTTGTATAGTTTTAACAATAAATAAGCTGATCTCTACACACTTATCTTTTGCTACGTTTCACTACCGTCACTGAACTGAAAAAGAATTGCAGTTTTGTAGTTCTGGGACTGTTGCACTGTTCAACAACTATGTGTTTGTCCTCATTCTGCCTGCAGACGCTGGAACCCCGGAGGAAGATGAACGATATGAAAATGCAATCATCGAAACAAACTGCATCTACCGTTTGGTTGACGATAAACTGGTGCCTATAGATGAATTCTGGGGTAAAATCCCTCGGTGCACACTTTTACAGTCTAAAGAGGTTTGTTATGCCTTTCCTTAATAGTAGAAATAAAACCCATTTAGGTAATTTTTGAAGGTTTATGAAGGAAGAAGCGTTTATCGTGCCAAAGGAACTCACCAGATGTTTCCTGTCGCTCTTATTGCACTGTGGCTTTTCCTGTCAACTCGGTTACTTTTTTCTTTAGACCTTTTGATCAGTGAGGATGAATACGCCGAGGAATTATTATCAGTCATTATTTTTGAGTTTTCACATATTGTGCCTTCTCCACTACTATCCCTCAAACCGCTCTAGTGACATAGCAGCAGCCCATGATACAGAGGTTTGTTGCAAGTCAATGAATGAAATGAAGCACCCAGCTGTATGATGTCTCTATTCTTGTTGAAGGCTGTACTGAGAACTTTATAGACTGGCCTTCATCTGAAAATGCTTAGTTGCCTGCTTGTCTTTCTGGTCCTTGGAACAGGCATGTGATTGTAGGTGGTTTGACCTTATTTACCGCACACCAGTCCCAAGCATGAGAACTAAAGGCTAGGCCTCCATATTTTTCTAATATAGGTTTATTTGTACCACTGAAGGACCATAATCCATAATAGGAAGTTACCAAACTGCATCTGGTTTTGGCACTCAAGGAGCTCACACCATCAGCTCCTAGTACCCCTACCTGACTACACACTCCATGTGCCCTGATCAAATCCAGCTCCCCCATGCAGAAAATGTGTATTAAAAGCAAAAGGTTCTTTTTCCTGTTTACGTCAGGGTGATTGTAGGTGTCCTTAGTATATTTTGACTTTAGTAAAGGAAAATATATTTACTTTGTATTATGGTTGTTCTTGCAGGTGCTGGTGTTTGATTTTGGCAGTGAGGTGTATGTGTGGCACGGTAAGGAGGTGACGTTGGCTCAGCGAAAGGTGGCGTTCCAGCTAGCTAAACACCTGTGGAATGGGCTCTTTGACTATGAGAACTGCGATATTAATCCTTTAGATCCTGGGGAATGCAATTCTCTGATACCAAGGTAAGGAATTTTATTGTTATCATGTTGGATGTATATGGTTGCAGTGTTCTAATGCTTTTTTATATTGGTGTTTTTACTGTTTTTGGCCAGCTTTATACAGTAAACAAAGAACTGCTTCTTCTGCCCAGCACATCTCAAGTCTAACACTCTTAACGTTATTCCACAGGAAAGGAACTGGTCGGCCAGACTGGGCCATATTTGGTCGACTGACAGAACACAATGAAACAATTCTGTTCAAAGAAAAGTTCCTGGACTGGACAGAGATGAAGAAGCCCTCTGAGAAGACTTTGTGTGAGGAACTCCCACAGCAAAAGGCAAACACACTAGATCTATATAATGAGTTCAGCACAATGTAACATTGTGGAGGACATTTGGAAAAATGAGTGCACTGATAACCTTTTCCTCTAGCAGTCAAGAATGATTGCAAGTATTGGGATATCTATGATCGAAAGCCATAAATAGGCAAATTACCTGTGCATCCAATGTTCTTGTACGGGGCTCCCAAAAAGGCCCATGGGGCAGCACATGGGACGATTTGGGTGTCATCAGAGGAAGGTGGGTATATGAAAGCTGAACTCCAGCTGTAATGATTTATGTATACATACATTGATCCAGCTTGGCACAATGTAAGTATATATAAATTATCCCTGGAAGGGCTATGGAGACCCCTGTAAAACACTGTAGTAGCCGCCGCTATAATAATTAGTATTTTCAAAAGATTGGTAATGGCAGCTTCCATACTATTGAACTTTATTTCCTTCTAAAAAGATTAACCGCACTGCTGTATTCCACCGACCTTGTCATTCATGCTCGAGTCCATCTACCAAAGGTGGTTTTGTTGTCCCTTTGCTGTGGATTAGCAGGCTGGTGTTGTGCTGATGCTGTTTTTAGGTGCTCCATTGTCTGACAGACCACAAACAGGCTTTATTGGAGGAATCTTTTGCAGTCAGTGTCTCTAACTCCAAATAGGCATGAATTTCTTTTAGACCTGAGAGCAGTGCTTAGTCATATTACATTGACAAGCTTGATGCTTTTGCTATGGAGCCGATATAGTCCACCACCCCAGACAACAGAGATGTTAAAAACAGGTCATGTACCTAGCCGTTTCAATCATTGATTATAACCGTTTCATCCTGCTGTTCAGTGACAGAGATATGGAACCATAATGCCCCTCCACCTATGGCATTGTTGATGGCGAGGTTTTTTTTAATGCTAAAAGTCTGCTCTGAATATATATATTGTCAGTATTGACAGTTTTGGATTTGAAAATTAATCCACATTTCAGCTTAAGTGAATATTTTGGTCCATTTTTAGTATCTGGTTTCACCTAATTCTATTTGCTTAAATCATATTACCTCAGCAGTTGGGTTAATCGAATGTATCTTCCATCAAGCGTGCAGGGATGGAGAACCAGTGGAAAATATAATTTAATATTCCATGGGATTGTGATGTATACTGTAAGCCACATAGATTAATATTAACATGAACCAGATTGTACTGGGTCAGCCTGGAAGATCTAATTAGCTGTGGTGGTTGCATCTGATCGGAGCCAACTAATGATCCATTCTTTTTAACAGGCAGAAAAGCAGGAAGATGTAAAGGGCTATGACATCATGCAGATGGTGCCAGGCTCCCAGGCGACAGTAGGAACCGTCTTGGATGGATTTAACGTAAACCGAGGTTATGGACTTGTAGAAGGAGAGGATGGAAGGCAATATGAGTTAACAACCGTCTCCGTTGACGTCTGGCATATTTTGGAATTTGACTATAGTAGACTGCCGAAACAAAGTATCGGTCAGTTCCATGAGGGGGATGCGTATGTGGTGAAATGGAAGTACATGGTGAGCACTACAGGTGAGCAGTTAATGGCAACCAAGTTATTAAGTATAGATACTATGTGGAAATACTGTTGAAGCTGGGAAAGCGTTAAAGCAGACAGCCAGTGGTATGATTTCCTTCAGTTCCTGTTCTATGGACACAATAGGAAGTGAGAGCAAATCTCTGAGTTGAGGGAAATGCCCTCTAAGTTGTCACCAGAACAAGTCTCCTAACTGCAAGATTTTCCCTCTGTTTCAGTTCTGTTAACAAGTAAAAATTCTGCATTTTCCCTTACTATTGTCACCAGGACAAAGAGAGTGAATCTCCAACCCCAGGTGTGTGTGCTTTGTAGATGGCAGCCTGCTCTGTACATTGTGATCAGCTACACGTAACCAGCCAAGAGAGGCTTATACCTTGGGAAGTGGAATCACTCAGGAAGATGACTAAAGTTATGTGCAGCTGTGTTTACTGTTAATAGTCATCCTGAGGCGATATTTAATGTGACCATGTAATTGGGGAGATCAGTGGGTATAGATGAGTACCTTTTTGAGATACAATAAATAAAACTCTCGTGTGTTGCAGTCTTCCTTTTTTTTTTTTTTTTTAACGGTCAAGCTTTTTGTAACAGTTATTTGAAGCTCGTGCTTTGGCCTTCGAGGGTATCCGTTCATAACAGGCAACATTCATGGTGTTGCAGCCACTCATCTCTCTGCAGAGTGAGCAATGTCATTGATGTCTTACAGTATGCATAGAGATGGTATGTAGACAACTCCTTCTGTATTCTGCTTGCAGTTGGACAGCGTCAGAAAACCGAGCATGTGCGGGTGACCGGAAAGGAAAAGTGTGCGTACTTCTTCTGGCAGGGCCGCCATTCTACTGTGAGCGAGAAAGGCACGTCAGCGCTAATGACCATTGAGCTGGATGAGGAGAGAGGAGCACAGGCAAGTTACCCTTTCATATCTTAATTTCATTTTGTATTCAATCATCAATGGTGAACAGTGAGCAGCACATTCTTGATTAGTGATCACTGAAGACTGGAACTTGGAGACACTGCTATCATGTGTAGATCTTGGAGCTCTATTGTAATTTCTTCAGGGTTGTTAATCTTTCTTCAGGGTTGTTTATCTTGTGCACTTGCCTGTGTTTGATAGCTGCTGGGCTCAGTGTGTATATAGCAGGCTTATTGTGTAAGATAGTATAATGACCTCCTTGGTAGTAATGCATGGTAGTCAAATCTCACCAGCTTTCTAATTTGAATACAGTAAACTGAAATGTTTGCTGTGCAGTCTCATTGCGGCTTGTGCGACCTTCTTAAATAAGCCGAACCCTATTTCCTCCAAATCCCGCTTCCACTCAACACTAATTGCTTATTTTAAGCTGGCCCTCCCACACCTGAACCATATTGGCTAGTGAGAACCCCTGATGGACCAATAGCAACATGAGGGAGAGGACAGGCTGACTCGGGACTAAACTAGGATAGGGTTGAGGAGTGATGGAATTTAAAGGAGAACTATGGGGTTTGGGCTTTTCCCTATAGTTCTCAGGGTAACGGGAGGACACAAACTAGCGTCCTCACGTCACCCTAAGCTCAATATATCGCGAGCTACAGCTCGCGGTATACTGAGACGCCGCAGCTGAAGCGGATCCCGACAATTATGTCTGGATCCGCCCCGCTGCGTAAGTGACAGCTCGCTCTGCCTATCTAGAGGCAGAGCCAGCTGTACCCGCCCCCTCCCCCGTCCGTTCCGCCAGTCAGCGCTGGAGGATCGGAACGGGGAGGGGGGAATCCATTCCCTCCCCTGTCACGGCAGAGAGCCGTGAGCGAACGCCGGTATGTGTTCGCTCACCTCCCGATCTACTGAGCCGACCTGTGACAGTCTCATTGTCACAGGTCGGCTAGAACTATGAGGTGAGTGAAAAGCACTCACCTCATAGTTCTCCTTTAACCATTAGTACCTTGCCATTGATAGTCTCAGGGTATGTGCACCGATGTGACTCCATTTTATTCTCCAGACAGTTTAGTAGATTTTAAAATTGACAAACCTTTTTTTTTTTTTTTTTTTTTACATCCACTGAGCGGACACAATCTGTCTGCTGGGGCGATGATTCTCTTTCATTCCGGAAAGTCCCTGACAATATCATTCTGTTTGCATTGACTTTGCATCTGACATTCTCCAAATTTCTCACAGGTCCAGGTGCTGCAGGGGAAGGAGCCGCCATGTTTCCTGCAGTGTTTTCAGGGAGGAATGATTGTACATGCAGGGAGGAGAGAAGAGGAAGAAGAGAATGCACAAAGTAAGTACAGATCTGTCCTCTCGTGCTGCATTGCAGTCTTCGTTATTGCAATTTGTAGTGTGCCCAAAAGTTCCTTTATCACATTCTAAATCTTCCCTGAATGCCTGGGAATTCATTCAGAGCTCACATGGCAAAGAGGCTTGGAGTTTATGCTTCATCCTCGCTCTCCACAAACTGTGCTTTCACTGGCTTATAAATGGATGATCGTTGTGGAGTTCAAGTCTGAGATGTTATTTGTGCTCCCTGGATCAGGAGGGCTCCCCAAGCACACTGGGAAGAATGTGGAGTGTCCTGGAAGTAATGCAACAGTTTAGAGCTGAACGTCAGGCAAACCACCTAATATACAGGGGAAAAAAAAATTGTGGGAGCTGTTTTAGCAGCCAAAGGATTCGTTTTTTTTGTCCATTAAGGTCTGAGATTTGCATGGGTGTACTACACAGCACAGTCCTGTCTGGTAGGGCAAGGCACCTGCTGCAGTTAAGTAACACTTAACAGATTTTAATCCTCCCCAAGCCTGTGGCTGGCTGGACAGTGAGATAAAAAGCAGAAGACTGATGAGCTCAACTCTCTGCTTTCTCCTCTCATGAGTATGCCCCTTGGTATCACATGAGCGCTGCAGCACAATTGACTGGCACTTTGTTCGACTTCTCCCTCTCCTAGTCAAAATGAGGGGCCCTGACCCATTGATATCTTGCCAATGCTCCCTCATTGCTCCTACTTCTGCCCCAATTAGCGAAAATACTGGGTGCCGGTTGGTTTTTGGGATCATGTAACCCCATCCCATGTGACAGTGCTCAGGTGTAGAGGCCATTTGCTAGGCCCTAGCTCTGTCGCATGACAGAGGAGTGATGTCACTACTCCCCTTAGCATCTGACACCAAGTATTTTAGTTCCGGCTGTGACAGGAAGTGACGGGGTAGTGCTGGCTAGGTGAATATCAATAGGTCGGGGGGCCCCTTTAAACACATGGTGTCCTTAATAAGCCAAGTGACAGTCTCTCTTTAATGAATTATGTATTAAAACACAGCTGCATTAATTTGTCCTTCTATCCTCCTAGAGTTTAGCTATAAGCTGCAGTATAATTGTAATGTCATAACACTAAGGGCAGATTCACACCATTTTCCGGACCACATCTTGTCCGGAGAATAGTGTGAACCTGCTGCAGTTTCAGTGCATTCCAGACCAGAAAAAATTAGACGTGCAATATTTTTCTGGTCTGGTCTGGAACTGATTGCACTGGTGTGAACAGAGGCCAGAAATAGCATAGGGCTACATTAGGATGCATTTTGGGTCTGGAAACAGTCTGGAAACAGTCTGGACTGGAGATGATGTGGTGTGAATGGGCCCTAAAGGTTTCTCCTTCAGCCTTAAATAATTTTGTGCCTCTGGACATCTGCCGCCATTTGTTTAATGAAAAATGTAGTTCTATCTTTTCCCCCTACCCCCTTGTCTGTGTAACAAAGTCTCTTCCCTTTCCTCTAAAGGTGACTGGAGGTTGTACTGTGTGCGAGGTGAGGTTCCTTTGGAGGGGAACCTCATTGAAGCGGCCTGTCACTGCAGCAGCCTGAGGTCCCGGACATCGATGATACTTCTTAATGTAAATAAAGCCGTCATCTATCTCTGGCATGGCTGCAAAGCACAAAGCCACACGAAGGAAGTGGGAAGGACAGCAGCCAACAAAATAAAAGAAGAGTAAGTACAAGAGCTGCTGCGCGTGCTTTGTGCTATTCTTTTTCCTTTTTGGATTATTAGTCATTTTATATGGAGTTGTTGAATAGATGTACAATGAATGGGTGATTATGACAGCTGAATAGGCCTTTGAAATCTCATCTAATTGCATGCATTGGGCTAACAAACATAGGAATCTGAGCAACAATACCTGGTCTTCCTTTAGACCTCTTTATACAGAAGGTTTTCAGTGTATGCAATGGAATCAACTCTAGATCAGCCCAGAAAATGAGTGGTGAATGCAGCCATGTGAATACAGGATCCATATAAATTGCCAATATATAGCCAGTTCTGTGGCTGCCTATCGGAGCCCTGCATGTGTCAGCGATATATACACCTGTGGTGCTGTTATTTATGGCAAGCTTAAAGGTGATCTGTAATGGTGTTTGGTCAATTTGATTTTAGCCTATGTTAATGATTGCATGTATATAAACTGGCATAATGTTTTATATACATTTTTTTTTCTTGTACAAACATATTTTTTCCCCGCTATAAGCAACTTAATACATGATGCTTCCATGATACAGTATTTGCAGAGCATACAGGGCTTTCTAATCAAAAAGCCAGGCAGTTGCCCTTCACTTCCTGATCGCCTCTGTATAACTAAATATTAATTTAAAAGCCATGTGACAAAGACAGAGAAAGTCTGTCTCTATAAAATAAATATACAATTTTATATTTTAAGAGGTGTTGGGGGTCCTCCTCTGATTTAAAATTTTATATTTAAAATGTTTTGCCCTTAGCCAAATAGACAGTATATACAAAACACTCTACATTTTCTCTAAGGGCAAAGATCTTCACTACAAACAAACTCGGGTATCAAACATGTTTTATTGCAATGTTGTAGTACCAGAGAAAAAAGATTATATGGCATCCACTGTATATATAGCAATGTCTTTCTCGATTTTGTACTTAATTTGATTTCTCAAGTGTCTCTTCATACCCAGAGGGATCACTGAACCTGGGGGCACCTTATGTGCATTTTATTTCTCATCCTACAGTTTAAAGTTTGGATTTTCTGCCCGCCAGCACAACCAGTTTCCAAGCAGATGCTGCGACTATTGCCTTTGGTTATGTTTAGTGTGTCTGGAGTATGAAGTAAACTATGAACAGCCACTTGAATTGTCAGCACACAATGCTGCTTAAAGTAAACCTGCCATCCATCTAAATTTAAACATTTAAATGTACAAGTTCTGTTTATCGGCCACCACCATAACATGCTTGCCTTTTCCTATATTAACCAGGGAACCCTCTATGATTTCGTTTAAATCATCTCCAGGCAAAAAAAAGTACCCTTGTAATGGGGCTACCCTGCACGGTAAGGGTTAAGAATTTTGGGGGGTTTTTTGCCCAGAGAAGGGCTTAAACTTTGTAATGAGAGGTCTTAAGCTGGCCATACATTATGTGAATTTTGGCCATTTCTTGATGAACGGCCAAAATTTGCACAGTGGGTACTGCTGTCGGCACCCTTTTGGCCGGCATCCCTCGATCAGCTGATCGCAGAAGCCATTTGGAAAATCTGCGAACAGACAGAGCAGGCAGCCACTCAGCTGCCGGCTCTGTTCAGGTATTCTGACAGTGGCTGGCGGCTGCTATCAGTGTACAGTGAAGACAGCAAGAGATTCCTTGGTCAACCCTTGTAAGCGTCGTTGGAGGAATCTGTAATACTTTCTTCGTTCAGCTTGCAGGTTGAACACAGAAAATATTATTGTATGGCCAGCTTTAGTGAACACTCTTATTAAACAAGGTTTAGGCATGTTGGCAGAGACAGAAATCAGTGTGAAACTAAATCAGGGAGGCATGAAAAAGGCGGGTTTTCTGGATGAGCAAAGTAATAACCTAGGAATTTTAGTTTAAAATAAAGTTTTAAATGAAGACAGGATGCCTACCCTAGTGTAAAATCGCTTTATTTTATAAAAAGATGCAGGTGATTCTTGATTATACTCCGATGAGTCTTAAGTGCCAAGTGCAGCTGTGCCACCATGTACGAAGGATGAATCGTTCCGGGGCATAGGGATGATGACACAGGCCAATATGTCTCTCCGTCCCGACCGCTGGATGCTATCGCGTTTCCGGGGTCACACCCCCTTCCTCAGAGCATCAGTTTTGTAGGTTTGTTCAGTTCCCCGACTGTCAACGGGGCCGCCTCCTATAGTGGTGCACATTTAAAGCGCGGATATTCAAGTCCTGTGGCGCTGATGTGGAATGTGGTTGTAAACTTTTAAGTGGCTTAGAGTAAACCTGTAACGTCACTATTTTCTTGTAGATGTCCATTAGAAGCCGGGCTGCACAGCAGCAGTAAAGTGACGATATATGAATGTGATGAGGGCTCTGAGCCACTAGGGTTTTGGGAAGCTCTTGGAAGAAGAGACCGCAAAGCATATGACTGCATGTTGCAAGGTAAGCTGCTGTTAATTGATTTTTCATGCCTCATTTATTTTTGATCTGACTATATCATCATTGGTACAAGTTTTGGTTGTCCCGCTGCAGTTTTATTTGAATAGTTGCGAAAAATACCTCTTGTATAATGTAGTGTCGTCTTAACATGGGTAATTATAGATTCAATCAAGAGATCACTCGCATATAAATCTGCTTTTTCTCTGGATCATTTCCCTTAAGTATTGCAGCAAATGACCTGCACAGGCTGTAGTGATCATCACAAAGTACAGTGAGTGAGTGTTGCCACTGTAGTACAGGAAGTCAATTACTGGCAGGATCACGAAGTGAATATATAGGAAAAAGGTAATGCAGTCAACACATATAAGGGCTGCTATTCTGCAGTGTATTACATGTTTGCGCTTGGATTTCTATACACGTTATTCACTTACCCTCATTGTTACATAACTGGTCACTGTGATCAAACAGAACAGTGCATGTGAGGACAGACTTTGCAGTGGAATCAATCACAGGACATGAGTGCCCATACACTACTCATCATTCCATAGTTATGACATTGAACATCCCTAAGAACGGGTCATGGTGCAGAATTCGCAGGTATGCTATTTGTCACTCAGATTTCCCAAGCTGTTTGAAAGTTTCATCAACAGGAGATCCAGTTGTGCCTTTTTATACCTACTTTTCAGGCATGGAAGGCATGAGTGAAAAACCTAATATAACTTATTCCTGGCATCTGCTGGTCTGTGGTCAGCTAATCTGTTCCAGCAATTCGGAAATGAAATAGTATTATAGGGACCCACTAAAGAGTGCAAGAAACTTTTTTTTAAGAATGGTTTTGTGTCAAACCGGCCCCAGGGAGTATTCTCCATATAATTCAGGTATTTATATAGTTATAGTCTTCTTAAAAATACAGAGTGCACTTATTCCCACCAGGACTTAAATACTGCTACCAGAAGTGACGAAGTAACAATATGTTATGATATATAACAATTTTTTCAAAAATCAGAGGAAGTCTATTTTCGGATCTTGTAATACACACAAGCAATTTGTTTTCTTTTGACAGATCCTGGGAAGTTTAACTTTACACCACGATTGTTTAGTTTAAGTAGTTCTTCTGGAGAATTCACAGCGTCCGAATATATGTATCCGTCCAGACTGCCGAGCGTCGTAAACTCCATGCCGTTCCTACAAGAGGACCTGTACACAGCTTCACAGCCAGGCAAGCAGTCAATACAGATCTCGTATCACAACTGAGGCATGTTTATCAGGAGGGTCGTCATTGTTATACCCGTGCTTGTCATAGGCATATTTGGTGATACGGATTTAACAGACACATTTCTGAAATGGATCATTTAGGGTAAAACATATATTCCATTGACAGCATTCCTTCTGACACTGGACCAGATGTAATAAAATGCTGATATGTCTGAGAAATGTAAAGAAAAGAAACACCCCCCTGGATATATTTTTTTTTTTTATATTCCCATTATTGAAAAAAATGTGCAGCATAACGTAGAGTCTTCTAATATCTGTTACAATTCATACACCGGTAACTCCGCAGAGGATTTACATCAGGAGTTCTTAAACTTTTTATGATTACGGACCCCCAATGGATTTCCCGTTATGTCCTCAAACCCCTTTCACCCAAATGTCAAAATAATTCTGGCCATCAGATCTATTAGATACCAGTATGACTTGAAAAGATGTCAATGGTTCTGGTTTTTTTCTACATATGGATAGGTTAGGGGCAGAACAGCTACAGGGACTCATAAGGATTTATTATTCTGAAGTGATTTCCAATTTTGCCTCAATAGCTGTAAGGAAAAAAAATCACATCCTCCTTATAAAGCTGTGTGATTATGTGTGTGTACAACCCAGCAGTTCAGTGCTACAGAGCCCTCCAACATTTTGTACGTTCTGCTGGTGAATATGGTAGAAACTGGAGGCCATGTTATAGAGGCTGCCACTTTCCTGCTTATCATGGCGGAACAATAACTATTGAGACAGGCTTCCTGACTTGCCCATTCGTTATTTTTGTGCTCCTCCTCTACTCCCCAATCGTTAGGTTCAGGGGACACCGACAGACCTGAGATTGCATGGCCTGATTGGTTAACTGGTACTCTGTGTGGCTGAAAGTTTAGCACTTAGAGGCATTTTCTAAATACAATTTCATAGCAATTTGCTGTGACTTGTTAATTGTACACAACACCTATTGCAGATAGATCTACACGGCTCTAATCATCAGGCCTAACTCGGCAGCAATATCACATTTTGTGACAATCTTTGCCAAAATCCTGTAAAATCATTAGTATATGTTCTTATATGCTATCAATTTCTCCTTTTATCTTGCAGCTCTGTTCCTCGTTGACAATCATCACGAGGTTTACCTCTGGCAAGGCTGGTGGCCTATGGAAAATATCATCACTGGGTCTGCTCGGATACGATGGGACGCAGATAGAAAGAGTGGAATGGATACTGTGCTGCAGTATTGTAAAGGTCAGAATTTCAGTTTAATTACAGTATCAGACATGCTAGAGATGTCCCAAACCAAAGAGATTAAACACCTAACTCAATGAATATGCTCTGTGCCACAGTCCCACCCCTCAGACACTTCCATAGATCAGCCAGAAAAAAAAATTAGTCCAAGCACCACCCATGGGGATTTCGATTTGCATTTATCACATTCTGTAAATTCTTCATGCATTCACATGACCACTGTGACATATACAGGGTTCCATATCAGTAAATACTATGTTCAGGTCCATCTGGACCCTTTCTCAAGTAGCACTGTTTATTTTATAAGTGAAGCCCCCAGTGCCAGTTCTTTGGTGAATGTTTCCCTAAACTTGATTGCATAAATCAATTGATGATCTGGTGCATAGATCCTTCCTCTGCGGTATATATGTACCCATACGCAGTAGATGATCATTGCCCGTTGCAGGGATGTGAGCAGGGTGAAGATTTTGGAGATGGCAGATGGCAGGAGAAGTGAATAATCTATCACAACATAGCTGAATTGGAGAATTTTTCCAGATCAGCGATGTTGTCCTAGATTGTTCCCTTCTCCTGCCTTCTCCAAACTCTTCACCCTTTTGTGTGTAACCCTTTTGGTCTTTTTAGATGGATTGTATTGCTTATGCAGTGTGAATACTGTACATCTGCTTTTTTTAAAAAATGATTGTGTACTGTACATTTAGCCACATTATATTCTGGTTCTGATTTGCCACCGTGTTTTGTTTCCTAGGTAAAAATGGTAAAAAGCCTCCAAAGTCCTATCTAATTCATGCCGGGCTGGAGCCACTGACGTTTACGAATATGTTCCCGTCCTGGGAGCACCGAGAAGACATTGCGCAGATCACGGAGAAGGTGATCATGGACTGATGAACTACTTAACAGCTAAACCTTGCACATGCATGTTACACACACACACACGCGCGCACACATAAAATGCATGCTTTTATACTAAAATCTGCAGCCTCTGTGCAGTTTGTATTCACTTCTGTAAAGAAATTCTGCCAAGTCTTGTTTTAAATAGTTTTAATACCCAGAACTAATAAAGTGTAACTATGAAGCAGTTTTTTCTGTAACACAGTTTTATTTACTTGCTAGTAGATCAGTTGATCGTCTACTAAAAATCCATAAAAGAAACACCAATGGTGATTTCAAATCGTATTTATCATTTTCCTTAAAGTCTTACTGCATGCATCAACCAAATCCACGTTGGCAAAAATGACGTGATACACGCGCGCACGGTAGTAGATCAGCTGATTTTCCACTTCCTGTGGATGGCAACGCTGTTCCTTCTGAATGAATGAGCATAAATGTTTTAAATGCTCTTTAAGTAAGAAACATACAAATTAAAGCCCAACTCCAGCTAACGAGTTTAATGCAGGTACAGCAAGTGTTTTTTTTTTTTCTGGGAATGAGGGTTAAACCATATGAATAAAAGCAGACTGCTGTAGGCACCCCTGTTAATAGTTTGTCCCAATTGTAGCTTTTGCAGGACAAGTTTACCCACATTATGTAGGCTGAAAAAAAGGCCTCTACATTAAAAAGAAATTCATATGCTCAATACTATCCCTATAAACTACATACAATTACCCGAATACCATATAAAAAATGGGATGTTAGCTAATCAACTAATCAGATTGTTTCTGTCCCTGGGACAGGATGCTGAAGTGTCCAATCAGATAATCCTGGTGGAGGATGTGTTGGCCAAATTGTGTAAAGAGATTTACCCTCTGGCAGAACTCCTGGCTCGCCCTCTCCCCGAAGGAGTGGACCCCTTAAATCTAGAAATGTATCTGTCTGATAAAGATTTTGAGGTAAGAAGTGGTGTGAAATGATCATGTGTGAATGGTCATAAATTCGTAAAGGAATTGTATTGAAGATGAGGGGTGCAATGTATTATGTATTAATGCTGCTGTTTGGGGGAAAAATGTCTCCCAAATCTCTGGACTCTGCAGTCATCACCATCAAACAGCGTCATTTCCTTACCAGTGAAAAGTTTTCCCTTCATCACTAGTATTTTATATACTGCTTGTAAATGTTATAATATAAGGGAAAACTAAGAGGCAGATGAAATGGTGCTGAAAATAATATGTGGGTTGCCATTGCTAATCTAAAGAGGACAGGTTTGTTTTTTTTAAATCCCCTATCTGAATTACGTAGTATTTGAGGTTGAATAAAGAGACCGGTCCATCAAGTTCAGTGTGTTGTGGGTCATTGACCTGAAAGAAGTGTGCAGCAAGTGAAGGCAGAGCTTCTGATCTGCATACTTGTTCGGGGTCAGCAAAGACTTGGAGCCCATTCACATTAGCTGCCAGTGTTGGGCTGTGCTGGGCAGCCTTGCTCAGTGCAGATCAAATGACAGGGAAAGGCAAGAAAAGAAACCTTATTTATAAATGCAGTTGCATTGCAGCGGTATGCACTGAAACGGTACGGCATGCAGTGCTTATTTTATGACAACATATGACGCCGTCTGCTGCACTGCACCGCAAGGAGGCCGATTGAACTTGATGAAATGTCACTCTGCACTGTAACTGAACAGAACCAAAGTGCTGCTTTCAGCCTTGACGGAACTCACCAGCGGCTGCATTCTAACACAGCTGCTGGTGTGAATGGGCCTTTAAAGACATTGGATCAGTATGACGGCCAGATAACCAGCATTTTCAGTAGGAGAGGTCGGCAACGGCCTCCATCTCGGTACATGTTTCCATTAAACCTGAGAATATTATGATGGCTGCCGTCAATCTCACCTTTTTAAAATTGCTAGCTTACTGTACATCTTGCTTTTGCTTCACTGCATCACTGGCAAGCGTCTACTAATTTTACTCAAACTTTTCTCATCCGCGTTCTGGCTCAGTAAAACAAAGTCTTGAGACTAAAGGGTCACAGCCAGGTAAGTAATAGTAGTTGCTGGGGGTCTAGGTTCAGTTTTTAAGCAAAGGTTTTCTTTAAGATGCCCTTAGCTGCCAGCAGTCCATATTTTTCTCTCTTCTGTTTTTGCAGATTGCGTTAGAGATGACCAGAGAGGATTACAGCATTTTGCCATCGTGGAAACAAGTCAACATCAAAAAAGCCAAAGGACTTTTCTGAACGGAACTTTCCCTCTAGACTTTTTCCCTGCTGGACAGTGTGCGACACCCTCTCCCCCCTCCCCCCCCCCGATCTTCCGGCCGCCTCACCACTAAAGAAACACTGCTGCATTTTGCACCCGTTGTGTCATGACATCTCTAAGCGTTTCGTGTATTGTATTTCCCCCTATAGCCCGCGTGGCTCGGACTGTAAACAAAGGGCTTTACCCACCTCACGTGTGAAGTCTGCTCATCACGCTGCCTGTTGACCCGTGTCTGTCATAAATGTATTAAGAACCTTTCAAAACTCTTAGCAACTCTCAGAGGAACTTCACTAACCTCTACCGTGCACTTATGCGGAATGCAGATATTCCCTCGCTGCAGACATATCGTTTTCTGATATTTTGTAAATGTCTTTGTCCAGTCCTATAGATTGTATTTATGTAAACACTTTGTATTTAACTATGCAATTATATCACTATGTAAGATTTGTGGATTATTACACAGACTGTCAAGTTTTCAATGCCAATCATGTGCAGACAGCTGACACCTGAGTTATGCATATGCAGTTGTGATTTTTTTTTTTGCATCATGTCCCGTGGCCATCATGGGATCTTCAACCATGTTTGCATATTCTGCACTTCACTGGTGCCCTCTAGTGCTGCGCAAGTGAAAAGGCATCGACTGCCGTCCCCTTAACCAGGATTTTGCCTCGGTGTGTGCAAATATTACATATTACTTTGTTCCAGAACATTGGGAGACCTGCAGTGGCTCCCCTGAGCAAGAAGCACTGCTAGAGCTACTTCAGTGTGTTTATTGTGCTTACATGTTGAACTGAAAAGGGTTCTTATAACAGTGTATAGTGCCTTGTTTTTGTGTACAGTTTATATACAGGAAAAAAATTGTCTGCGTTTTGGAAGCAGTTATTAAAGCATCAATATTTGTACTTAATAGAAGACATCTCAAGTTTCTAATACCTGATGTAAACTTTAAACATGTATTTTGTGATATAAGAACATGAATTAAAAAAAATGCTTCAGAATCTCGGTGTGGGTTTTCATTCCAGCAATAATATTATAGGAAACATATTGACATCGGTTATATTTTAATCGCCTTTCTCTTCCCCATTTTAAGGTGTATTTCCACGATTGCAGCCACATTGGGTTAGCACTTTATATTGCATGTTCCCATTCACACAGCATAGCCTACTTGCGGAAAACTCCTTTTTAGCGTCCTCCTATGTAATGTTAGGGAGGGGGTGGGGAGTACTGATGTTTGCCATAATTAACCCTGTCTATACTGCGTTTGCAGATCTTCATTACCAGTAGGGATGCACTAAAATTTCGGCCCAAAATGGTACTTTGGGCAAAATGCCGCTAGTACTGTAACGGATGGAAATTCAGTGCATCCGTAGCTTCTCTCCTCCCTGCTGGGTGCCAGGCTGTGTCCCCTCCAATGTCTGCTGCTCCCTCCCCGCCCGTGTCTGCAGAAGCAGCGGGTATCCGAGGAGACACAGAGGATCAAGCTGCCGTTGCCCAGCGGGGAGGAGAGGAGCTTTCAGGGGTCCAAGCAGGGCAGTGAGGGTGGAAACAGCTCACAAGATGCCGTGTGGGTGGAGAGAGGCCGAGCTGGCAGAGGAATCAGGATTGAGAGCAGGTTACAAGCACTCATCGCATGAGTGTTTGTAATTAACTGAGGACATATGCTTACTGTGTCCCCAGTTATGATTGAATGGAAAGTGTTCTACATCACTTTCTGTTCATTCATGATTTGGGACATAGTAACTGATACCATCTCCTCAGTTTATGAATGGACTGGAGCAGTATAACGGGCTGTAGAAACAGATTTAATAACGGGCTGTAGAAACAGATTTAAGACTGTCCTCAATCTCTTTATTTTAGAGGGAAATATCACGGATCTGTTTAAACCCCCAATATTTCCCCGAAGCCCCCAGAAGTAAAGTTAAAAAAAAATGTTTGAAACGGGTATGAAAAAAAGTAATTTTCAGCCTGACAAAGATTTTGTTTCAGTCTAAAAATTTTATTTTGGTGCATTCCTAATTATCAGTTGTAATTTAGATGCACACACAGTCTTTCCTCACAAAAGGTTCAAGATCTCAAGGCTTCAGTGGTACATTGTATGTTAATGAACTTAAAAAACTGTCCCTCAGGCTGTCCTTTCCCCATTACTGAGTATTGTAAGCAATATCAGCTATCTATAGCGTTCTATATGTATAATCGTTCTATAGCGTTCTATATGTATAATCTGCTCCAAAGAAACTGCTAAAATGATGAGAAATATTTATAAAAAATATTTTTAGGTGTGTGAATGGGAATGCATAACAAACATAAAAAAGGGTTCTCAAATTTGACTGCAAAAGTGGAAATACACATGCAATACACATTGCCCACTTGTGTGCATGCTTCCTGAAATGTCACTGAAAGCAAAACGTCTGTCTGCAGGTGAGGGCTCTGGTTTTGTAAAGGCAATGATTTTATTACCTATCCAGTTGGTCCAACATTCACATATAGGCCTGCCATGTAAAACATTGCATTTCCCAGAATTCCTTTCTCTTTTTGAGGAAGGTTACTTACTGCAACTATACAGAAAACGAATGTTATCTATGATTTGACCACAAGCAATTTACAGCCTACTGTTGTGTAATGTTAAGATCATCCTGCAGTTACCTATAACAATAATGGGACATATAGGGACCTACTATGCAGCAGCACATACCAATAATCACTTGTACCGGTTCATACAAAGCCAAAAACATGCACCATTTATTACTGGTCCCATAGCTGTAATGTATTGTACAGACATATTGGCTCTGGATTTAGCTTTTGTCTTTGCTGAAGCACTCATTGCACTATATATCCCTTCGCCCCAGCTCCCAAAACTGGCAGAAACCTCAGATGTGGGTAATGCCCAAGGCTTGTGGTTACAAACCTCCGTACAGTTAGTGATTCATGTTGGACAATTGCTTTCAATTTACTAGAAGCAATTGGTTTCAGAGAACGAGAGGTTATTTACATGTTGGTGTCCTGCATATTTTTGCTACAAGTAAAGTGTATTTTATAGCCAAAAAGAAGGGACGATTAAAACCCTGAGCATTTTTTCCCCCAGCTATCTGTCTTTTTGTAACATTAGTGGGCGTGTGCTAGAAAACTGGAGGAGAGCAAGGTTTCACACCCCAATAGTATAGTTATATCCTATGAAAATTAACCCAATTTCAGGTATGCAAAGGCCCTAAAAGCTATCCGTCTTTGATTATGGAGACTTCCCTTTACTTCCTGTCCTCAAGACAACACAGGAAGCGTGTTAAAAAAAAAAAAAAGTCCTCTCTAATGTGAGAGTAAATCCAAGTACGGTTGTCCAGGAGCCCCCATTGGCAGATTTCCCCTGACCTCCGCTTTCCTGTTACAATTGTATCATTTTTTATTTCTTATCCCTTTCATCCTGCTGGCAATGGTAATTAAGGTGGATAGAGAAAGTGTGACTCAACGCAGCAATAAAACCTGACGGGTTGCAATTTATCGAAAAATAAAATTGGCTAGAAACATGCTTAACATACATATTAACTGCACACATAATGTATGATGAGGTTTGTACCCTTACAAACAATTTTAAAAATCTAAGGTCCACCCTGATGTTCACTGGTTACAGAAAACCTCTAAACCATTCTGTATAGAATTCATTTTCTTATAGTAAAAACATTTGAGGGAGTCGTGTGGAAAGTTGGCTGACTGTGTATGCAGACAGCCGTGTGTGCTTTCCCCCCAGGCCTCCTGCCTGGGGAGGGTGTGCTGCGAGTACTGTTCAGTCAAGCCTGTGGTCTAGAAGGACTTTGCATGTGTCAAGTCGAAAAGCAAACTAGGTGATATCTTGCTAGATCAGGGACTGGTGAATATAAGGGACCTTTCAAATAGCTGATCCTTAAATGCAAAGGCCAACAATATACCACTTCTGATCATTATTGAATCCAGCTGTAGACCGGATCACTAGCCCACTAAAAAAATAAGACCATGACCAACCAAAATATCAGTGACCGATCTGTGTTTTCTCAGGCACTCAGTTCACCAGCTAACAGAAGAACAAGTGCATGTTATCTTAGGCCACCATACAGAAGCCTGTATTCAGTGGCCACCTCTTGGCAACCAATCCAGATCTTCAAGGTCTCTGGGCTGCCTGTGTAAAGAACTAAAAAGGGGAGAGAGAACGACAGTGTCTTCCGTACCCATGGGGAGGTCACAAAATGCTGGGTGAAGAAGAGTTTCGCGTTTAGGTAGACTATGATTTCGCCAGCCAGCTTGTTTCACACTGTAAAGCGTGCATCCCAGCTGATGTCATTGACCAAAAATGGGATACCCGACCAGTTTGTTGACATTCAGCATCCGGCCAGAGAGCTGTCATTTTGCAATGGGAGAGGCTTCTCGTAGTGTGGGTCATCAGGGCATTGTTCATCATTGCAATCGATGTTTGATCCACATTGCTCTCAGGCTGAATGTCAATTAACTGGCCAGGTATCCTGAGTGAGGTCATTGACCAAATTATAAATTTTTTGGTTTTACAAACAAAATTCTTTAAGAAAAATATGGCATGGGTTCCACTCGAACTCCATAGCAGACCTACAGCATATCCATTGGATAATGTCATTTAGTGGCTATAGATTTCTTTCTAAATGTCACTTTTAAACAAGTACATTGCACTACCGTTCAACGTCACAAGCAGAACTAAGATATCCCCCGAGTATGTTAATTAACGGAATTGTGTATTTTTAAGGTTGCCTTTTATTGCGCGATAAAAGACCCTCTCCTTGCTAAACGGTATTTATAAAAAGAAATGTGTGCACTGGTACATGTTCCCCCGTGGCAGAGCCCGGCTACCCATGCATATTTTAAACAAAATAGGGTACTTAAATTTTTTAAGATTTAACTCCTGAGTTTAGTGTCACTTTAAGAGAACTGGTGAGACTTAACATTATTTCTTAGGGTCCCCACACACCTTACGATTATCGTACGATAATCGCGGGAAATCCCGCGATCGTACGATGATCGTAAGGTGTGTGGAAGCCGTGCGACCTCTACTACTGTAAGGTCGCACGACTTTAAACTTACGGACATGTTCGAAAACCCGCCGAGCATCGTACGACGTTCGGCGGGTTTGTGGCATTTCCGTACGATAACAGCCGTACGGGCCGGTGTGCGCAAGCGCACACTGCCCGTTCGGCATTGCGGTCATCGGAAGCCCACCCCTCAGGGGGCGTGGCTTGCGATCATCGCAAGCACGATCTGCCTATGCAACATAGGCAGATCGTACGTTTTTTTAAGTACCTTACAACCATCGCATGACAGAAGTCTTGCGATGGTTGTAAGGTGTGTGCCCAGCCTAAAGGTGCCCACACACCTTACAATTTATCTGCAGATTTTCTGTGGTCAGATGGAAAAAGTGCAACAGATTGGCCCAGGTGGAGATTACTCCATCCACACAGTTAAGTGTAGATGGAGGAATCTGTTGCACCTTTTCCATCTGACCACAGAAAATCTGCAGATAAATTGTAAGGTGTGTGGGCAGGTTTAGGCTTCATCTGGGTCTGTGCAGCAGACAGTCTGCATCCAAATGCATGTACCCGGACCTAAACGGATGTGTATGTTCAAGTCGGCTTGTACCCACTAGCAGCTATGTCCTGTCATTTGGATGTACAGGTGACTACATGCAATTATACGCCACACCTGTCCCTCCCAGCAGCGAGTCTCTGCCAGGGGTATGCATGCCGTACGGATGTGCATGCCCGTGTGAATGAGGCCTTATAAAATCATTATGCAAGAGGTGGAGCTTGTACAAAGAGAGTCATCATTTAGTTATTCCTGGAGGCCTAACGCGTCCAGTAAAGCCCTGTCGGTTATGTAAAATGTTTTACTCTCGTCAGTTATTGCCAGTCAGTAGATAATCCATGCCTCTTTATCACAATCCACACTCCTCTGGACAGACATTAAAAAATATTTCCACATTCTTTTTTTTTTTTCTTTGCC